ACTGAGTAGATGCTGACATATGAATTAAAATCACCTCTTTTAAGCCTTCTATTTCCTCATCTTCTGTCTGATGTTAGTAGAGTGAGTCCTCTCTACTACTGTTACTGGGCTATTTCTCTTGTTTACTTCATATATTTGGATCTCCCATGTGTGGTGGAGGTGTTTTGTTTGCCTTGGCAACAGGTCCCTGTAACATAATGTTCTGTTTCTTGCAGGGTTTTTCCCCCTTAGAGCTGGTTCTGTCTGGTGTCACGGCAGCCACTGCATTACTACTTTTCCTCCTCTCACTTTCTAGGACCTTAAGTGATTTGATTGGGCAATTTATGCACATGGAAGTCAGTTATTGAGGTTTCAATTCTGTTTATTTCCTTTTATGTAAATTAGTATTCTTATGATTCTGAGACACAGAACTGCTATAGCAATCCGATGTATGTGTATCATACTTACATCCTTTTACCAGAGCAGTTTATGTCTTTGTGTATCTTGAGGTTAATGTCGTGTCATGGACAGTGTAAACTCAGTTTCTGTGTCGAGAGGAGGACTGAGTGATAAAAGGCCATCATCCCCTGAACTGATTGAGGGATTGTTACAGTCAACATCACTGTTCATGCTAGTGTTTAATATCAGTCAAGGTTAACAGGTGGACGCAAAAGACAATTTAAATAAAGATCCTGCCCTCTGTAATGAGTTTGGTGTGGTGTAGGTAATGTATACTGTTTGAGCATTTCAGCTCCACTAAAACACATGCCTTTTTCCAAGGTCCATGGTGGGGAAAAGGCCTGTTGTACTTTTCTGTTATAGATGTTTTCAAGGTAATTAACTTTGGCCTAATGGAAGATTTAATTCCACAATGTTCTATTTCTAGTTATCCAAAATGTAGCTAGGTGTTGTCTTAATCATTGTTGACCATAGCAACTTTTGTAAAGGAAATTAATTGGGGCTAGATTACAGTTTCGGACACACAGGCAGATACGGTGTTGGAGAAGTAGCTGAGAGTTCTACATCTGGATTGACAGGCAGCAGGGGGAGAGAGTAACTCTGAAGCTCCAGAGCCCACCCCCAGTGACAGTTCTTCTAACAGGGCTACACCTCCTAATCCCTTTCAAGTAGAGCCATGCCCTGATGAATGAACCTGTGGGGCCATTTTTACACAGACCACCTCAGCTGCATACTTTAAGTATTACTGCTGATTAATCAGTATAGTAAACAAAACAACAACTTTATGTTCCATTGGTAGGAAAATTAGTAAGAATGGTCTTTACCATACCATCGACTGTTAATGTCCTTTAGCGATGATATCAAGAGACACAAAGAACATTACTGAAAGGTAAACAATTCAAAGAAGAGCATTCAGATGCCAGAGGAACATGAGTGCTGCTAAAATAGTCACAAGTTAACGTCTGGTCTGCCCAGAATGGAAGCCTGACACTAGGCAGCCAGAAATGGTGAAGGTGAGTGACCAGTCGTAGGTATTAATGAAGATTGTTCTTCATTAACACAGCCATTGTGTTTCTTTCCGTAGAATTCTTTGGATTGCACTCGATAGAAGTTCATCGCTGACCTATGTTCCTGAACTATGAAACGGGAATATGTGGACTAAGGAGTAATTTATCTCAATAAACAATGAACAATTTTATGGATAGTAAGTCTTTGCTTGGTTATTGTTATTTTGGATAATTCAGGGTCTTAAAAGTCTGACATCTACTCTTGTAACTCTGGATGGGTACTATAAAGACAGCTTGTCGGCCCATTATTGCAGCACATGTATAATTGCTCTTACGTTTCGTAATGTCGTTGAGAAAGGTACTTCCTGCAGTTACTTGGTCCTGGCTTTAGCCCCCTGGAGTACATGAGTGGCTGAACTTGTTCACTGGTGTTCCAGTCCTGTGAATAAAATCTCTTTGCAGGAGGCAGAGGGAGGTAGGTAGGTGTCTGAGTTAGAGGCCGGCGTAAGGCCGGCGTAGCGAGTTCCAGGTCAGCAGGGAAAGATGGTCAGATGCCATTCCTTTGTTGTTTTTTGTTTTGTTTCTCTGTGTTGCTTTGGAGGTTGTCTTGGAACTCTGTAGACCAGGCTGGCCTCAAACTCAGATCTGCCTGCCTCTGCCTCCTGAGTGATGGGATTAAAGGCATGAGCCACCAACGCCCGGCCATATGCCATTCTTACTGAAAATTCTGTCCTTGAAACTGTTGGGTAGTGTTGCTGTCAACAGAAAGAGTAGGTAATTGACATGCTGTTTGAATAATTGCTTTTATTAATGAACCACAATATGTGAGATGGGGAAATACATGTCTTATCTAGTAAAAACACTTAACTAGTACTGAGTCTTGTGTCTTATTGTCACTTAAAGTCTGAAATGTTACGATTTTTTCATTAGTATCTTTAGAATCTGTCCTTTAGAGATTTTTGTTGTGACCAAAGTTATATTTATTTTATGCAAACCTAGTTTTCTTTGTTGTTTTGGTGGTACAGGCATTGAACCCAGGGCCTGGTGCAGCCCTCGAGTAAGAGCTCTATGACTGCTAACATCCAGTGTATAAAATTAAAAGGCAAGTTTGATCAGTGGTTATCCTTACTCTGTTTAACTTGTGTAAGACTCAGTGAGTGGGCTGTATTAAAATAAGGTACCATTGAAAACCTTCGAACTAAAAACTCAAAACAGACATTTATCCATGGTCAGTAATTCAGGAATACCTTTTATTTATATAATTTGCTAGCAATATGTAAAATTACTGTAAGTCATACAATCAGTACATATTTACATTCTTAAAAATAATTATTCTTGAAGTTGACAAAAATGTTGCTTTCCTAAATGAGTAACAGACTAATTGCAGAGATGGTTTCATATTTGGCTTGAATTGTCCACCAGTGACTTTTGTTTTCCAGCAGTGGTGACATAGTGGGGATGTGTGCCCAACAGACTTGAGAGTTGAAGGTCAGTTGCCTTTAAATGGCACTGTCTTACTTAACTGTCACTTTTCAGTTGAAGGGAACAAGTTGCAGGCCTATGCATGAGACCACGAGGTAGTCACTGAACATTGTAAGATAGCTGGAGCCTTTCTTAGATGTTAATGCTTTATCAAGTTAGTTCATAGAGGACTGCCTTGACTGATGGCATTGCTAGCCTTCATGTTGGAGGCAGGGTTTCTCTGTGTAGCCCTGGCTGTCCTGGAACTCACTCTGTAGACCAGGCTGGCCTCGAACTCACAGAGATCTGCCTGCCTCTGCCTCCCCAGTGCTGAGACTAAAGGTGTGCACCACCACGGCTTAGCAGTGTTGGGGTTCTTCACCTCCATATACTACGGAGTTCTAGAACCAAATAAACTTAAAAGCATTGTGTTCTGTTCTTGTTGGTAGACACAAAATGTTACTTTTTAGCTTGGTAAAAAATAAGCTTTCCAAAATACACCTGAGCAGTTAAAAGTCTGTTTTATAAATTAGTAGAATGCAGACTTTGAGGGTAATATACATTGCTTTTACTGAAAGAATGGTATTGTAGTTGAGTGAAAAATTAAACAAGTCAAACAACAACAGTCTTAAGTATTACAAAGGTGGTGGTGGTTTGTTTCTGTGTCTGTATGCTAGGGCCTGTCCACATTTTACCATATGTCAGAGCATTAGTAGTTTGAAATTACAGTGAAAACTTCTGCAAATAGCATAGAACAAAAAAAAAAAAAAAAAAAAAAAATTTCCTGTGTATGGTGAAAAACATGGTAAGAACACAGCATATACAGGACTCTGCTGATTATCTGTTCCTCCCCACTTGGATTTTCTTGGTCACTTGAAGGAGGTACAGCGTCTCTTGTTTGGGGAGAAGGTAGGATGGGAACCCCACCCCACAAAGCTGCTAGGCCTGCTGCTATTGATATGCTGGCCTTGTGTCCGTGTTGGATGCTGGAACTCTGTCAGGCGCCTGCTCTAAAGGGGACTCAGGGGAACCCTTTCCTCAGGGCTTTGTTCTTTACCATGGTGAACTTGCTAATGAAGACCTGAGCGAAAGGTGGGTCAACTAAGTAACGGTAGGTTTTAACAGTGGCCGGCGGGGGCTCCACAGCCACCACAGAACACGCTGTCTGCATGGGATTGCAGCTTGGGGCCAGGTGACAAGATGTTTTTGCAATGTAGTCCACGAGCCTGTTAAACTGTTGCTCCGACAGTCTCTCCCGGGCACCATCCATCTGCATTCCAAAAACAGAGGTTTGTTGACAACACAACTATTTTCCTGGGTGCACTTGTTCACTGTGTCTCCTAGGTCATCTACTAAGCCACTCTGTCTGTCCACATCTGAGATAAATATGCACATGTAACCAGATCTCTGTGAGCCCCCCCCAATAAACTCATTTTGCATAAAATTCCCACTTAAGATTAACCATTTGATAGTACTCATTAACTGTTAACACATCTGTCATTGCTTTTTACAAAGCAGCCAAGGAACAAAGGAGAAAGATGTCCCCTCTGCTTAAAGGTAAGCGGTGTGCAACTCAGCATCTCCAAACTAAAGTTGCCCTGGTTCCCAGAGCCTCTGCAGTGTCAAAAAGCAGGAAGAGGGCCTCATTCACACCAGTGACTTTGGGCAGAGCATTTAAAAAAAAAAAAAAAAAAAAAAAAACTCCTACATCTATTTGAGCTGTAACATTTTCTGTTTTTATAAATACTAGGTTTTAAAGCCAGAAAAAATAGAAAAACTGGGCAGAGGAAGGGGAAGTTTTTATGGCAAAAAGGGAGGATGCAAACTGCATTTATAGTTCATAAAAGTCTGGCTCATCTTCAGTGGAACTCCAAAACTGAGATAGATAAACTACCTAAGTTCCTAAGTAAGACAGTCTGAGGAAGCACCCATCAAAGGCACTTGGGACTGTAAATTCTTCTCATCTAAAGTCCCACCACTATCTAGTGTGCAGATCAAGCTGAGTGGGGAATTGGCAGAGCTGGCTACTGGTTTGTAGAATTTAGTAGCCACTGACCTTGTGTGTGTGTGGGTTTTTTTTTTTTTTTTTTTTTTTTTTTTTTGTCT